TAGATTAAATGTCCATAGTCATGAAGTCTGGCTGCTCCTTTCTCTCTTTGAGATTATTCTCATTCAGGGTTAGGCAATTTTGTTAGTTCTCATCTCTAGTGCCCCATGCGTTATAGAAGCAAAATGTAGTACTGCCTTGGACTTAGTGGGTGGCTGTGTCCTTGCATCAGTGGTGCTGTGTTTGTGTGGGGATCTACATGATCATGTGGGTGAGGGGCACTGATCCTCTCATGTAGATCTGTTAATTTTGTGACTTTCTGTGATGAGAAGTAGAAAACTTCAGATTTTTCATTTCTTTTGAAGGTATCAGCTTGCATCATCTGTCAGTGGGTAGGCTCCTCTGTTCTAAGCAGAAGCAAAGTGCAGAGCTGGCTAGGAGTGAGCATGTGGTTGTTTCTGGGGAGTGGAACCCACCTCCAGTGGCTGGTTTTTATTCACTTTTTTCCTTAAGGTCATTGATAGTTAAGTCCATTATTTTTCTGAATACATCATCCTTTGGCTCACTGGAAACTTTATTCATCTTTCTGTTTCCCTTCTTATCATTTTTTATATTTCAATCTTTGAGTATTTGATTTTCTTCCAATCAATAGCATTAGGTAAGCTTTCGGGTAATTCGTTTGGTTTGGCAGCTATTTGTTACCTTGTTTTCTCTTGCATGTGTCTGCATGCTTGTGTGCATGCATGCGTGCATGTGTGTGCACATGCATATGAATGTGTGTGTGCTGAAGGTTGGTGGTCAGTTGGAGGAGAGATATTCCGTTGCTGTTATGGATAACTTATAAACTACTGTCTGTTTCTTATTGTTATGAACTTTGTATGATTTTTGATATTCCTGTACATCTTAAACCTACTCAGTTGCATAGGAGCAGACACAGTATCTGTATTTTAGGGAAAAGATCCTTACTGATGATACAATGCAAAGAGATTCAATCATAAGTCTCTCGTGTACATTAAAACTCATTTTAATAATTTCACCCTATTTTCAATGACCTATAGGGACTATAGTAACCTAATCTACTGCTAGCAGGTAGCCTGGGAATTGGGGAAAGGGAGGAAGAAAGAGGAAAATGAAGAGGATAAATTAAAAGAAAAGGAGAAAATAGAACTAATAATTAAAAGAGAGAAGTAGAATGACAAATGCTTGTATTATATTTGTATTTTGAGTATAAATCTGGAGAAGTGGAGTTCTTGAAGTATCATATGGGAGCAAAAGAAACAGAGGGAGTCACATGCAATTAGAAATTAAAGGAATATTTAATAATGTGAGAGTCTGATAATGGGCTGTAAGACAGTAGGCTCTTTGGGTCATATTTCATATGAGTTATATTGACATGATGAAAGGGTATTACTTAGGTTAAAGAGTTAGTCAATTTTCTTCTCCTCTGGACATATACTGACACCTCCCATATATGTACATATAATGTACACTATATAATATACATATATATTCGATGAATGTGGTAAAAGGATGGTTTTTCCTTTATAATCTATTCAATTCTCTGCCTTTCAGTGCGGACGCTTTCTTTCTGGGTATTTTAGAAGCAGTCACCAGCTAGCTATTAGTATAGAAAATGCATGAAAAGTGATAAATAAGTGCAAAATTTGTCCTTTATGGTATGTTTTTGCATTGCCTGCCAGGATACGGTCACTCATAGAAAAAAAGATTCTTCTGTTATGGCTTGCTCCAGGCTTATTGAACTTTCATCGTTTTGGTTCAAAATTTCACTGAGAGATACCTCAGTGTGTTGTTAGCTTGCAAAATGTACATTTTAGCCATGCCTCTACCTTCCATTTTATAATTGTGAAAGTTCAGAGAAAATGGGCAACACAGGCAAATCCATCCTGAGAATAAGCATCTACTCCTGTCAAAATGAAGCTCTGCCCATTCTCTAATGGAAGTGTCCAATATAAACAAAGTTCTGCCTAGTCACAGACTGATATGCCTAAGCAATGGGTCTACATTGGGACCTCATAATTGGTCTCTGCTGCTGGCAAATGGGTGGTTAAAAATGGCTGTACCACGTATGCCTTTAAGTGGGTGCCATGTTGTTGAAGCCATGCATAAACTGCCCAAACTCTCATCTATCGGTTTCCAAAATGACTCAGGATCATCTTTTTTCACACACCACTGCTTCTAATGGAGGATCACAGGTCACAGCCAGTGAGGTGCAGCAATGGGTTCATGTTCTGGAATTCACTGGAATTATCATAGAGTAGGAAATAAATTGGTATAAATCTGTATTGGCCATTTAAGATGCAATAGGACTGACAGTGAGGTAGAAAAACATTGCAGTATTGGGGAAAGTTTCTCCTGAAGGCTGTATATACTTTTAGTAAGTGTTTAATATATGGTAGCAAATCAGGATTTATTTTTAAGTAATCAAGAGGTAGAAATGGGATTGGAATCATTCATCATTACTCCTAGTGATAAAGTAGCAAAAGCTCGCTCCCCTTTCTTGCAGTTTGAAACTCAGGTTGCCTAGAAGTCATGGTTCAAAGAAGGGCCAATAAGTGGACACAACAGTGATTTTGTTGAACTGAAATCAAAGAATACTGTGATTATTTTGTGCATATCAGCCTGAGTCAACAAGATTTTAAAAGTGAGTTATATGAGAAATTAAGGTTATTCCAAACTATGAAGGAAAAATTGTATTAATACTTCAAAATTAATGTAAGAAAAAGTATATGTGGAGTGCTGGAGATCCCTTAGGGTGGCTAATACCGTCATGCCAGTTATTCAGGTCTTTTAGCTATGTCCTTATCACTGAACACAAAACCCAACATTCACAAATTATCAGCTACTTCCAAAAAGAAAAGGCATGGTATAGAGGAATGATGGAAGAAAAACTCCTCAAATCATAACTGCCAGAAGCAGAATGAGAGAGAATGGGGGAAGTGGGAAGAGTGATGCATCTTTCATGATAATACTTTCTGTGATACATGATCAACCAGGCTCCACTGCCTAACAACGATCAGGTACAGCACTCACATGAGCCCACCACCATCTAACCCCCCCCCCCCCCACTAAACACCTGAGACTTCTGGAGTCACTGCACATATAAACCATAGAAATGGGAAACTATGATGGTCAATGCATCTTGGTTGACAAAAATTACAGAATATTGATGATGGTGTCACACTATCAGATCAAGGACCAAGACCTTTTGAAGTGTTTCCTGAAGACCAACGGAATAAAGAATTTAGTTATCAGTACTGGGGACAGCCACCAGCCAGTTACAAAAGCAAGGATTATAATTGTCATGAGTATTTTCTTCCTGTTTGGTTAGCGTTCTTTTGTATGTTAACAAGTCTATTAAATGAATGTCTTTGTTTTCTTTCTTTGTAGCCTAATGTTCATTGGTTCTTAAAAATTGCTAACTTTATACAATTATAGTTTATGAATGTCAGCAGAGGAGTAAGAAAAAGTATGTCTTCTATTCTTGGAGAGAATTAGTGTGTTTTCATTTGCATGCATAAGGGTTAACTTTCTATTTTATTGGAGATTAAGTATTGTTTTAGCAAATGTGTCTGGCTGTCAAGTTCACAAAGGTGAATGCTGATCATTAGTTGTGATATTTCAAGTTGAATAAGAATCACATAGGAGATTACTAAATTTCAATCCTGTCTCTGAAAGACTGACACAAATGCTAATAGTCAGAGGTTTGAAAACCAAATGGACTGAGAGGCACAGAATTCAAAGGAAAAGGACATGTTACTTTTCTGCTTTTTTTTTTTTTTTTTTTTTTTTTTGCACAAATCTTCCCCATTGATTTTGGACTTTGTCTCCACCTTCTTTAGCCTTCCAGCAGAGCTTTTCATACAGACTCTTTTGGCCTGCTGACAGAGACTGATAGAGACTCACACAAGTGACTCTACTGTGAGTTTTCAGGCTTCCAGATTTGGCTGCTCCTGGATACTGTGGATCAGTAGCACACAGAGGGCTGTGCTGGAATTTCCCACTTCTGATCCTGCAGATGGCCTGTGATTCTCTACATCTTATCTTATCTTGTAAAGCAACCTAATAAATCTCTTTTATAACTATATATTCTTTAAATCAATTTTGTTCCTGTAGAAAATCCTAATTACTGCAATTACCAAAGTGATAAGTAATTTTGACAATACAGTGGTGCCTCTCTTCATGAACTTAATTCACTTCACGATTTGTTTCTCAAATAGAATTTGTCAGGAATCAAATCAAATTTACACATATGGTTCCTTGTAAGTAAGGTTCATCTCTTCTGATCCCCACTAATGTGGCTGAAAACATATTTTCCTTGGGAACTGAATCAAATTTTCCCATAGAGTTCATTGTTAATAAGATTCATTCATTTTGAAATATATGTATTATCTTTTACCACAAGACTATAAAACAAAGTACAGCACAGGACAGTAAGAAGGGAGCAAACAATAAGCAGACACATTATCAGTCTGCACATGGTTGTCATCTTTCTGATGGCTTATACTTCATATCATGAAGATTACTATGTACTTTCTTTTGGGTTTTGCTAGATCAAATAATATTGGATGGCACTGTACATGCTAAAAATCTCACCAAAGGCTCTTTAGAGAAAATATGCACAGGTACATCTGCAACTCTGTCTCAACTAGAGGAAGCTACAACATTGTGCCAGAGCTCTGAATAGTCTGTATTTATGTTAATGTAAGGAAATGGCTGTGGTCTTGTTTGTTACCCAGTGCAGAGTTTGTGAGCAGATTTTTCCCAAATGTGAATCAAATTGTTCATGCACAGAAGTGTTTATGAATTAAAGTGTTACTGCACATGAAAGAAAATTAAAAGATACCTGAGCCACTTTCATAGGTTGTGACTGAAAAATATCTTTACTTTGTATTCTAATCTTCTATTAGTTTTTTATTCATAGGTCAACTCTAACATACTGTATATAATTTCACTAAACTTCATTATTATTGTATTAAGACACTAAATTAGTACAATTTTGTTTAATGTGGAACAGTAAGTCAATATATTTTTATGTTTACAGTGGGATCATGAGACCTGGCCTCAATGCCATTCTGGGACCAACAGGTGCAGGCAAATCTGTGTGAGTATAAAAGAAAATGTTGGTCAGCTTTCTTTGTATATTTCCTTCTAAAGATCACTGGTATGAGCTGGGGTTGGTTCAGTATTTTCCGTGCATGTCTGGTTTGGTCCTAGGTTCTATGAATTATGTGCAGTTAGGCCACCTTTTGAAAGACCACAGTATTTTATTGGTCTGATTTACTAGTACAACATAAAGTGACTGGCTTTCAGCAGCCAATAGCACGAACCAATGAAATGTGAAAATAAGTGGAAAATATTTAAAAAGGGAAAATGTACCAGCAGTTTTATGCAACATCATGAGTCTTACTTAAAAGCATGTTACCTGTGTTAGAACCTGTAAATTCTCACACAAGAAGATAAGTTGGGAGGTCTGTGCCAGGTAAACCAATGACAATATATTTGCATTTCAAGGGGCTTCCATGTATCACGTAAGGAACATATGTCTTTAAATAAGTTATAGAATTTATTGACTAGTATATTTTCTAATGGACAGAAAATGTGACAGATATGGCCTGTGTTTTAGGGATAGAAACCCTTAATACGTATATTCTTTCATAGGTTATTAGATGTCTTAGCTGCAAGAAAACATCCAGAAAAATTCTCTAAAGATGTTTTGATAAATGGAGAACCTCGTTCTGCCAATTTCAAATATCACTCAGGTTATGTGACACAAGTAAGCATTACTGGCTTTGCATTTTATAGTTTTCATTTTTGTATGGGCAAGTGCTTTGGCTTATAGCTTCCAGCTGATTGTAAAACCTGTATATAGGACTAAGCTTTTTTAAACCAGATTTTAATAATTATCCAATAGATTTAGTGTGGCATTAAAGAAAAATGTAGAGTGGATATGGATTATAATTTTGTAGGACAGTGGTACCAGTTGTATATGGTATAGCTATCTCTTCCAGAGTATCTAACATATGCTTTCTTCACTTTTCCCTCTCCCTTGAAGCTGTCTTTGGCAAATCATTGTAGGAAGAATTCTGAAAGGATTTGTAACAAGTCATAATGAGATAGGATAAAAGAAATGAGAAACAGGTAGAATAATAAAAGAAATGAGAAACAGGTAGAATTAATAAAAATTGAAATTATAAAATTATGTTTTTAAAAGAGCAAATTATACTTTTAAGAAAAAGTTCAGCAGGACAAGCTTATGTTTCCCTGCTTCTGGAGGCCACCCCATCTTGTGACACTCCCTTCATCCTTGCTGAAATAGTGTTAAATTCCCTAAAGTCCTTTTACAGTAGCTTATAAATTCCAGGGAAGTATATGTCCCTACACCTGTAAGTTGTTTTTTCCTCCAGCCAAAAATAATAATAATAATAATAAAAACAAAAACAAAACAAAACAAAACAAAACAAAACAAAACAAAACAAAACAAAAACCAAAGCAAAATAAAACAATAAAAAACCCAACTTTGGTAATCCTCTCCCCAGTTCAAACACATGGACTGTAACCGGAGGACCTCCTACAATCCTATGCGTTCCTCTTTCTGACAGGTGCTAAAAATTCTCTTTTTGCAAGAATGTCAACAAAACACAAATTTATCATATGAGAGCAACATATCAACAAAACACAAATTTATTGTATGAGAGCAACATATCACCATTGTGTGTACCTTCCTTGTTGCAAAAATTATTCTAGTAGGTTCTGCAACTGTCTGTACAAGTAGTTACTATAATTTATAGAATGCAGTGGCTACAAGAAGCTAGAGATTTACCTTGGCTATTTTGCAATTTTGGTTAAGAATGATGCAATTTTGGTTCTAGAATGATGGATGAGCTTAAAAAAGGGCTCAGTTTGTCTCACTAAAATACCGTTTGCCTTAAGGATGATGTCATGATGGGCACACTGACAGTGAGAGAAAACTTACGCTTCTCTGCAGCTCTTCGGCTTCCCATGACCATGACGAATCATGAAAAAAACAGGAAGATCAATGAGATTATTGAGCAATTAGGTCTGTGTAAAGTGGCAGATGTCCAGGTAATGTGATTAAAGATGATGCAATCGTAACCACATAATAAAACTTCTCTTGGGGATTTAGCTTAGCGGCATAAGCGCCTGCCTTGCAAGCAGGCAGTCGTGAGTTCGATCCCTGGTACCAATAAAAAGGAAAAAGACAACAACAAAAAAATGACCTTAATCAGTGTTTTCTATGTTTGCTGTCAAAGTGGCTGCTTTCTGTAATGAGGAGAAACGTATCTAATTATATCATAAGGGCATTTAAATTAAGCTGGAAAAATTAATTTAAGGATGATTGAATCCTGAGGGTGGAACAAGCTCTAGGTTAAAAAAAAACAAAAACAAAACAAAACAAAAAAAACAAACCTGTTTCTCAAGTAGTGTTTATCATATTATCCTCACTCATTCTCATTGTTCTGCACAATTTGATAATTTGCACTAAATTTTTAAGTTGTGCTTATCTATTTTGAAACTTAGGAATCTCTTTCTCTCTCTCTCTCTCTCTCTCTCTCTCTCTCTCTGTCTCCTTCACTCTGGGGAAATTTGTTCTGTTGCCTTTTGAACATTCTGGAATTGATAAATAATGAGACACAAGAATTTTTGCTCAATATATTTTACTTGCTATCACTGTCAGGTCATATAAATATATATATATATATATATATATATATATATATATATATATACACACACACACATACATATATACATATATATAACAAACTAAAAATGATAAAATGTTATAAAGTTTCAAAAGAAGAAATAGGAAATTAATGATATTTAATATATTCATATTGTTATCTTGAAAGTAGTTATTCAGATTACAAGATTTAGGCATGAAAAAATTCATCAATCAGACAATGAAAACCCAACTCTTTTTACTGATGAACAGAGATTAATAGTATAGTTATCTAAGTTGTATATATTTATGTACACACATATATATGTATGTGTATGTGTGTATATATATACATATACATACATATGGATATGCATATACATATATGTACATACACACATATATATATTCTTTTCCATTCTTTCTTTTCTCCTTTCCCTTATCCTAGATATTCTTTCCTTTTGGTCACTTTCTTTCCTTTCAGTTTCACAATATCTGTTGTACATTTGGGATCTTATTTACTCTTTTTTTAAACTAGGGAGACACTATGATATTTATACATGCAAGTCTGATTTATTTCACTTATGAGCATAGGCTCTAGCTGCATCCATTTACCTATAAAAACCTGAAGTGTATTCTTCTTTAGCTGTATAAAAATATAAAAAATTGTATAAAAATCCCACATCACTGTTATCCATTGTGTGGTTGATGGGCATTTGGGTTGTTTCCAGAGTCTTCTTAGTAGCCTAGTAATACCCCATTTTATAAAAATACCACATAACTTTTGCTCATTCCCCAGTTGAATGGCATTTGGGTTGTTTTCAAAATCTGATTATTACAAATTTTGCAGCTATGAACCTGGGTTCACATGTATCACTATGGTATGATATTTTCAATACTTTTGGGAACATACCTACAAGAGGAATAGCTGGGTTGAATGGAACCTCTAATCCTGCTTTTTTGAGAAATCACCACATGATTTCCTCAGTGGTTGTACAAGGCTACATGCCTACCAACAATGGAGAAGTGTTCCTTTTTTCTAATAGCACCCTTCAGCATTGGTTGTTGGTTAATTTCTTGATGCTAGCCATTCTTCCTGGAGTGAGATGCTATCTTAGTGTTATTTTAATATGCATTTCTTGAATTATCAATGACATTGAACATTTTTTTGTATATTTATTTGCCATTTGTATTTCTTCATATGAGAAGTGTGTATTGTTCTCAGATGCCAATATTTGGACTGAGTCTTTAAATTCGTGGATCTTCATTTTTTTTCAGTTTCTTACATGTTCTGTATATAAGTCCTTTATCTAAGGGACAGTTGCCTAAAATTCTTTCCCATTCTGTGGATTTTCTTTTCACTGTGTTGATTTCTTTTGATGTATAAATCTTTTTTTTAGTAAGATAGTACCCCATTTGTTGATTCTTTGAAATACTTCTCATGCAGTTTACATTTTGTTCATGAAATCTTTGCTTACCCCTATGTCTCCAAGCCTGTCTTTCATTAAATTTAGTGTTTCTGTTGTAATATTTAGCTGTTTGTTTGATTGATTTCGACTTTAGTTTAATACATGATGATAGATATGGATCTAATTTTAGTCTTTGGAATGTGGAAATCTGATTTTACCAGCACCATTTATTAAAGAGCCTTTCTTTCTTTCAGTGAACATGTTTGGCCACTTTCTCAAAGATAAGGTGGCTGAGTGTCTTTGTAATTGTGTCTGCATCTTCTAAGCTCTTTCACTGATCCTCAGGTCTGGTTTTTGCTGATACCATGCTGATTTCGCCACAGTAGCATTATAGTATACTTTCAAGTCTGGGATTGTGATGACTCCCTCTTTGCTGTTGTCCAGGATTTCCTTTCGTTTTCTGTCTCTTCTGTTTCCAAATGAATTTTAGGAATGTTTTCTCTAGATCTGTGAGTTATGCCAATTGTATTTTCATTGGCATTGCATTGAATCCGAATTACAGTTTTGGGAGTATGGCCGTTTTCCCAATTTTCTTTCTTCTTATTCAAAAGCAATTAATATCATTTCATTTTCTGATATCCTCTTCAATCTCATTTTTTAGAGTACTTAATTTTCAACATATAAAGCTTTTATATCCTTTGCTAGAGTAATTCCTAAGTATTTCATTTTTTTTGGATGCTACTGTGAAAAGTATGAGTTCTTTCAGTGAGCTTGTTGTTTGTGTACAAGAATGCTATTTATTTTTGAGTGTTGATTCTGTATCCAGCTATGTTGCTGAATTTTCTTATTAACTTTAGTAGTCTTTTAGTGGAATTTTTGGGGTGTTCTATGGACAGTAGCATGTCATCTGAAAGTAATAATAATTTAACTTCTTTCTATTCTTACTCCTTTTATTTCTCTCTCTTGTCTAATTGTTCTGGCTAATGTTTCCAGAACTATATTGAATAGAAGTGGTAACAGTGGACACCCTTGTCTTGTTCCTGATTTTAGAGTGAAAACTTTCAAATTTTATTCGTTTAGTGTGATGTTAAATGTTGGTTTGTCATAGATGACTTTTATCAGGTTAAGACCATATATTCCAATTTTCTGTAAGGTTTTTATAATGAATAAGTGCTGGAATTTATCAAAAGTTTTCTGCATCTACTGAAATGACTACTTTTGTCTCTGGCTCTGTTAATATGGTATATTACATTTATTGTTTTTGCATATGTTGAACCATCCTTGCATTTCTGGGATATCTCACTTGTTCAAGTTGTATAAAGTTCTTGATTATTTGCTTCATTCTGCTTACTAGTTCTTTGTTGAGAATTTTTGCATCAGAGCGAGATGAGCTTGTATTTCTCCTTTTTGCATCGGTCTTTCTCAGTTTAGGTGTCAACATAGTACTTACCTCCAAAACTGAGTTAGAGAGAATTTCTTTCCTTTCAATTTCATGAAAGAGTTTGAGGAGTGTTAATGTTAAATCTCTAAAATTCTTGTAGAATTCAGCTGCGAATACATCAAGACCTGGGCTTTTCTTTGTTGGTAGATTTTAATTATGTGTTCAATTTCAGTAACTCATATTGGCTTATTCAAAATTTTTTATGTCTTTTTGATTCAGCTTTGGTAATTCACATGTTTCTAGGAATCTCTCCATTTCATCTGTGCTTTCCTGCCTATGCAAGTAAACATTTTTGAAGTAGATATTGATGGTCTTCTGAACTTCCACAGGATCTGTTATTTTCCCCTTTACATTTCTCATTGCATGAATTTGAATTTTTCTGACCTTTTTTATAGAGTTGGCTAGGTGTTTATCAATTTTTTATTCTCTCAAAGAACAAGCTCTGTGATTCATTAATTTCTTGTTATATTTTTTCAATTGTGTTAATTTCTCCTCTTATCTTTATAATTTCCTCCCTTCTATGAGCTTTGTGTTGACTTCTTACTCTTCTTCTAGAAGCTGGAGGACCAGCATTAGGTTGTTTATTTGTGCCCATTGTTTTTTCTGATGTGAGGAATTCATTGCTGTATGTTTTCCTCTTAGGACCACTTTCATTGCATCCCACACTTTCTGGTACCTTGTATCTGCATTTTCTTTTAAATGTAGATATTGTTTAATTTCTTCTTTATTTCATTTGTGACCCATTGATTGTTCAGGAGGGTGTCGTTCAATTTCCATGTCTTTATATAGTTTGGATATTTTCTTTTGCTATTATATTCCAGTTTAATTGCACAATTGTCAGATAATGTGCATGGGATAATTTCAATTCCTTTGCATTTACTTAAGCATGTTCTATGGGCCAATATACAGTCTACTTTAAAGAATATTCCATGTACAGCTGAGAAGAATGTGTATTTTGATGTTTTGGTTAGAGCTCTGTAAATGTGTTTTAAGTCCATTTGCTCACATGTTTGACACAGTTCTGTTTTTTCTTTTTGGATTTTCTGTCTAGTTTATCTATCTCTTTGTGACAATGTATATCAAGGTCTCCTGCTACAATTGTGTTGTATGTTTGAATTTTGAAGTCTATTAGTATTTGTCCTGTATCTTTGGGTGCTCTTATATTTGTTGCATATAGAGTTATACTATTACCTCCTCTTCTTGAACTTTTTCTAATGAGTACGTAGTTACCTTCTTTATTTCTTTTTATCATTTTTGGTTTCAATTTCACATTATCTGCAAACAGAATAGATTCCCCTGCTTTTTTCTGGGTTCCTATTGGAATGGAATATTATTTTCTATTCTTAGGTTTTTAGTCTACGATTTTCTTTTTGTGTTAGATGTGTTTCTTGTACTCACTATGTTTTTGGCTCTTGTCTCTTGATCTATTCTGCCAATCTGTTTCTTGTAATTGGTTAATGGAAGCTTTTACATTGATGGTTATCACTGATAGGTATTGGCTTATCTTTATCATGTTATTGGTTCCCTGCTTTTTCCCTTTGTTTAATCGCATGCCCTGCCTGGTGATTTGCTTCTGTTGTTGTTCTGGTAATTATGGTCATTGTTATCTCTATCTAGAATATCTTTCAGTAGTCCTTCTAGGATTGATTTGGTGGACATGAATTTCTTCAGTTGTTTTTTGTCATGGAAGCATCTAATTTCTCTGTTAATTTTGTGAGATAGTTTTTCAGGGTTCATCAGCCTGGATGAAAGTTATTTTCTTTCAGGGGTTGAAATGCTTCAACCCCTTCTCTTCTTGAGTTGAGATTTTCTGTTGAGAAGTTGGCTGTGACTCTAATCAGCTTTCCTTGATAGGTGTTTGTTGAGAGTGTCTAGTGCATTCTGAACCCCGGGAAGAGGCACACACACACCAAGTCGGGACACGGGGGATGCAGCGCGAGGAAAAGAAACAGAGAGACACGGCAATTGCAACTACACCGCACTGCACTGCACTGCACACTAAGTCTTTATTCCAGGGTTCTTATATAGTAAACCGGATCAACTCACAGAGTACAGACGATTATCTTGAAAAAGCATTCTTTGTGACAAGCTTTGTGACAGACTACAGTGTGACAGACTACAATGTTTATCTAAACTATCTAAGTTAAGCAAACAAGCAAAACCAGTTCTTCTAGCTCCTCTAACCCAGGAGGAACTCTATTAGCCCAAGAATGTTGTTAGTTATGTTTGTTCTCTCTTTTTTTTTTATTTAAGAGGAAAAAGAGAAAAACACAAAACAAAACAAAGCAGTGTAAGGTTACACATAATACAGAACTACAAAAAAAAAAAAAACATAACAGTAAGAAATCACCTGTTAATAGATTACATATTATCATCTTGAAAATAGTTGCTCAAATCACAGTATCAAAGAATACAAAGTAGACATTCAAACAGAGAGACTGCAAACAGCTGTGTTCAATGATCCAAAAACATTAATATAGTCAGCTATTTAACACCCCTAAACACACTTGCTGTTATATCCGTTAGAGCTCTTTTATTTTTCCTCCCTCTCTTTTTTACAACAAAATTTACACATTTTGGATTTTATTACTCCTTAGTTCTTATTAATTTTTTTGGGGGGGGGAGAGAATAAAGTCAAATATGGCAAAACAAAGCTGTCAGTCAAAACCAAGGACAGACATAGCACATGATGTAGAACAGAGTACAAGGTTATTAGCAATGGTTATCAACGTTGTCTCTTGTTTCCTTAAAAAGAATTGTCTATCTCATTAGATATTATAAAGTTGGACAAAACAGTAGAGAACAAGACCAATAAAACTTAGTTATTGTAAACATTAGTGTCACAATGGTGGTCGGCCACTTCCTCATGACTCTGCAAACAAAGCCAAGTCACACAGCATGGGTTCAGAGGGGGGGAACATCCCCCACTGAGATCAGGCATTCCTGTCCCGTCTCTGTCTCGCACACTGGGGGCTATTGTTTACTGCAGGTCCCGAGGGGGCCAGAGCCTTCAAAGTGACTCCTCATCCCCCACAGGTGTTCTGTTTCTTTTCTGTAACAACTTTTATTATTCTGTGTTTATGCCAACATTCTGGGATCGTGATTACTATATGTCTGGGTACAGATCTTTTTTGGTTTTGGTTGTTTCATATTCTACATGCCTCACTTATCTATAGATCAGATTTTGTTCCCATCCTCAGGATGCTATTACTGCTATTAATTCAGCAAATAGTTTTTTTTTCCAGGTCATTTGTGTTGAATTCTGAGTTTTCATTGACACCTACCATGTTAATATTCTTCTTCTCTATACCATCCTCAGCTCTTGAATTATCATTTCATGGTCCCTTGTTATTTATGAGTTATTTCCTTTCATGATCAGTATCTGTGATCCTGTCATCAAGGTCTGAAAGTCACTTTTCAGTTTTGTTCAAGCAGTTTTTCCATCTTTCAATGGAATTTTTAATTTCCTAGATATCTCTTTGAATCTGTTTCATGAATTCTATGTCTTCTTTATTCAGGGTTTCTATCATTTTACCCTGTACTTTAAAAAAAAGTCTATGTCCTCTCTAGTTATTATGAGTAACCCATTTATTGTCATTTCTTTGTTTACTTGAGAGATTATTTCTGATATAATTTCTTCTGTAGCCCCATGAATTTGTTTTTTTAGTTCACTTGCTATCTTTTTAGAAACTTCAGGTGTTTGAGTCCAGCTATTTTGATGTCTAACGTACTTGTTCCAGATGGGGGCGTTTCAGATCACATTTTGCTTTTTTGTTTTGTCATTTTCATCTCTTCATTGATATTTATTTTTTTTTAATACCACTAGTCTCAGTTGCCTGCTCTGTGTATCTTAGTGTCCTTCTGTGTGGTTGACATTCTTCAGTTGCTGTCAATCACCCTTTCTGCAGAGTAGGGGAGGGACTAGTCACCTAAATTTCTCTTCCAGGGCCAATTAGATGAGTCCTATATTTTTCCTAGGATGATTAACCTAGGAGTATTATTGTGAACCAACCCTTAGCCTGTATTGTTGCTGCAGCTTTAGAGTTTTCCAGACTACCAGATCCACCTATCCATGGTGTGTGCCCCAGCTGAACCCTACTGTGTCACTGGGGCTTGAAGGCACAGCCAGTTTCCTCTGGGTAGGCTGAAGCCTTGCCGGCACTCTCAACAACCCACCTGGGTTTCTATGTATGGAAGAAGAGCTCATCTGTGCTCTCATTAGCCTCCTAAGTCCTCTGGGTGGGTGAATGGTTCGTCAGGCCCCTGCCTACACACTGAGGTTCTATTTTTGTGGAAGGACTCACTATGCTCTCTTTGGCATGCCTAGATACTCTGAGTTTGGGAAAGGATTTGCACAACTTTCTGCAAGCCCACCAAGTTACTGTATGTGGTATACATGGTTGCTGATGCTCCTGTGGGCTGCTGAGGTCTTTCAGATGTGGAGGAGTGTCCCAAGTTATGTTTTATAGCTTTTCCCCTCCATCTTATCTATTTACATCTGTCCTTTCTTCTCTTTCTCTTTTGTTTCAGACTGTTCTCTGTGAAATTCACCTTCAGATTTCAGAAACAGACTTTAGGAAAAAGTAAAGAAGAACAAAAAAAAGATAACAAAAGCCTCCCTAATTTTAAAGATTGTGCAACTATATGAAAAGAAGTCAGAAGAATGAGTGGCAGTTCTAGTTGAGAACTCTGTTTAAAAGAAATCCTAAGCTGATATTTAAGATTTTAGGTAAAAATGAGCTATTTAAAAGATAATGGCTCTGTTAAGTTACAATGTAAGCAGTGTCTGCTGGGAAAGAAGTAGTTAATATAGTCTGACTACAGGTGAATTTTCCTGGTTCCAAACTCAGTCTCTTACAATTCCTTTTTGGTGTCTCGCTGGAAACAAGTAGAGAGGTATGTTGGTAAAAGTCCAATAAATTTCATAGATACTTTCTTTTTTCCTCTCCTGTTTTTATCTAATTTATTCATCCCTCCCAGAATGATGGAATTACTGGAGTGTGCCCCAGTGTGTTAATTTTATCACCTGCTTTCGACTATAATTTTACTATGTTGTGGCATACCTTTTAGTATTCCAACTTACCATCTTAATATATGTATATATATGTAGTTGATAAGGCAACTACAGAACTATATAAAAAGATGAGCTTCTATGTGATCTCAGCCATTAGCATTTCTAACCTGAGGCTGAGTTTATATGTCTCATGAAACAAAACCCTCTTCCATGTCTGTCATGTCCCCTATTTTATCTCTTAAGAATAGTGAGAATAATAGTGTCTTGTACAGGACCGGCATAAAGTGTTTTTACCAAAAGCTAGTGACTGTGGTCACTCCCGTTGGTAATATTTTGTTTTAGGTTGGAACTGAACAAATCCATGGTGTGTCTAGATCAGAAAGGAAAAAGACCAGTATTGCCATTGAGTTGGTCACCAATCCTTCCATCTTGTTCCTGGATGAGCCCACAAATGCTTTAGACTCGAGCACAGCTCATAATCTCTTTTTACTCCTGAAAAGGTAACTGCTGTGAGAACTGTTTTTTTAATTGTTTTAATATCTGATTACTTCTGTGCATAAGATGTCCTTATTGCAGAAGATGCAACATTGAAACTGCAGAAGTTCTTCCTTTTTTGTTAGAGGGGAACAATCATTCCACACAGCAGTGGTATGAAGGAAGATGAAAGAGAAGCACTGGAAGGGGTGGCCATGGTGGTTGTGAGGGCTGATTTGAGTAGCAGCAGGGTCATTGAAGACCTCCAGACTGGGACATGTGAACTGTAAGAAGGGGAATGAGACCACGCTGAAACCTCCAGAGAGAGTTCTTGTTGAAGGAACAGCTGGTGTCCCCGTGGCCAAGCCAGCCTCCTGTGCATGGCACATCAAGAGGCTCGAGGGATTGAACCTAGTGAATAAGGAGAGTGGAGAATGGCTGAGATACTCTTGTAACAGAGTACTGCAGAGTTGATGTGTTAACCATAGAAATTAATTTTGTTTCAGCTCTGGAGACTTAAAATTTGAAATCAAGGTGTCTATGACATTGTTTTTCTGCCTTCTCTATCACTGCCTGAAAATGATCATCTTCACTATCTGTGTGTCTTTCTGTGTCCTTGCCTTCTCTTAAAGGGACCCTATTCACCCACTTAGTGAACTGGTTTAGCCTTAATTACCTGAAGTCTATGGAGCTATTCTTACTTCTCGATCTATGGAAGACAAACCTGAGAAATACACATTTAAGAGTGTGTTCATATGTGCAAATATGAATTACAGAAATGTATCAACAATAAACACATTTTATATGTGTTTTGTTTGTCCATCTATGTGTAATATATTCATGCCATTTTTGTATGTGGTGTTCAGTATCTGAATGTCCCAAAGTGCTCTATCATTAAACAATGCTCTCTCTTTCTCTGTGTATTTCTAATAGAGAGAAATACTTTAGGATATATCTATAATGATTGTGGTAGTTCTTAGTACATGTGTATTAAATATCTGTGAACTCATAGTGGTATTTAAAATTGAAATCTAAAAGTTGAATGGTATTGTTTGTCTTTGCTCTTTCTAGGTTGCATCTGACATTAGATAGTGAGCATGGAGCTCCCATTATCACAATACATTTAGTAACCTGTGCAGAGAAAGAATTTATTTATAAAGAAACATAGCCACTTCTGTTGCACACATTATTGCAATAATTGATCTTGTAGCCTGATCCTCTTTGAAACAACGTCCTCTGTTTGACACACTATTGGGCTCTAGTTAGTGCTTAACAAATACTTAAAATGAAGTGATTACTTTCATACAATATTTTAATGATTATTTTGCAATGAGAATTATGTCATTGTTTCTCCTATCCATAAGAATAAGTTACCGTAAAGAAGTAGGTTAGCAATGTTTCTACTATGGAATTAAATTGATACTTAATGCCAGTCTTGTCCCATGTGACTGACATCTTGATGATTCTTGATCTATTGATCTTAACCTTAAATGAATGAAATAATAATATCCAAACTGTCCTACAACAGTATTGTGAAAATGGAAGTGATATTATCTCTTAGGAATCTAGCAAAATGTTGAAAATACTTAATAGTGTTGATTCCTCAAGGAAGAATAATTAATAATAATAATTAATAATAATCATAAAACAAGAATATTTAAGATTGAACAGGTAATTATTGGATTAATACTTAGTACATATAACACAAAGCTTAGTGCATTGTCAGATTAGTTGGATGGCTGTTAACTGTAGTCTTGGTGCTCACTATAATCTAATTCAGTGTCTGAAAACACTTCAAGAATCCACATTTTAGTGAGGATTTTAGTATATTATCAATTTACCATATTTTAAGAAACCCTTGCCTATAAATCATTAAAATTTGTATCAATTAGCGATATGAGGTACAATGTAATATTTCTAAGAGAAAATGAAGTTAAACTGGGGTCAAATGTTCTACAATCAGGAATAACATGTTTTATCAGGAAGTACAAAGATGGGATGTGTAATGATTGATTGTTTTCTCTTCTTTAATTTAGGATTTCTAAGCAGGGACGAACAATCATCTTCTCTATTCGTCAGCCTCGGCATTCTGTCTTCAAGATATTTGACAGTATCACCTTATTGGCTGCAGGAAAATTAATATTCCACGGTCCTGTGCAGAGTGCTATAGAGCACTTTGCATCAGCTGGTAAGGTTGAGTTCTGTATGCAGGAGATGCTTCATGCAAAGAATGCTAGAGGAATTCAGAAGTGGTGACTGGAGTGCTGTTTGATCTTGCATAGACAAATCAAACCATGGGTTCTATCACTCTCAACCATTTCTGGTCAGTTTAATACCAGAACTTTTCTTCATTTCCTAGTGCTTGTTTGTTGTTTTTGTCTCTTGCCATTTCCTGTCCTATAACTACGCACCTGTGTGTCTGTCTGAGTTTGTCTTCTGGGTCTGTGTTTGTGTTGTTTCCCAGGTGTGGTGTTTTTTCTTGTGAGTTTAGTAACTAGTGTGTTGGACCAACTGCCTGTTACTATGTCACTTGAATACACTGGTTTTTTTCTTGGGGCAAGATACTGAGGACTGAAGGAAGAGCTTGAATGTTGTGCTACATCTGTAACCTATTTTAAAGTTTTAATTTTGAGACAGTGTGTCTCACTAACTCACTAAGTTGCCCAGGCTGGCTTCAAGCTTGCCATTTTACTACATCCTTAATCTCTTTTCCTGCACCTCCTCTTTCTTTGAGTCACGTGGCTTAATTTTTAATGATACATGCACTTTGCATTATTCTTGAGATATTTTCATATGATTAGAGACGTTCCCCCTGCACTAAATACCATTTTAAATATGTGCTATACACCTGTCTTAAGGAGTTTGTTTACGCTCTTTAATTTAAAAATAAATAAGCATTCTTTGTATGAATCTGTAGAATCTGTGGAAGTTGAATTTAAGTGTCAGATCTCAAGCAAAGTTGAGATGACATGACTGTATCAAAAGAAGCTGAAGTCTGAGTTCAGGTATGCTGTGTTGATTGTATTTCTAGACAATGCTGCTGTGGAGATTTTTGCTATTTTTAGTTATGAGAGCATACAAATAAAAGTTAGACCTCTGCATTTAGTGGGTGGTGAATCCATCACTTTTGGCATGTGAATTGTGGTTCCAGTGTTTTCTTGGGGAAATTCAGAGAGTGCATATACACTCTGGCACTTCTATTTTTTCTTTAGATATATGATACAGATAGTCACTGAAACATTCCATACATTCAGGAAAGGATAAATGAGTCAGAGAAGAAAAGATGAGGGAGAAGGAGAAGTTTTAGGTTCCATATTCACATGCTTCACCTCACCTACCCTCTGATATGAATGCTTTTTATTTCCAAGATCATCAGCTTTGTTCTTGGGTTTCCTTCTTTGTTCCATAGGTTACAACTGTGAGCCCTGCACCAACCCTGCAGATTTTTTTCTGGATGTCATCAGTGGAGACTTAATTGCTATGGAATCAGACAGAGATGAGGAAGACCATGAATGTATGTGGGTCTGTGAGATTCACAGAGATTTACCTAATTGGAGTGGTTGAGATTTAACAGTGTGATAGCTCATTTGAAGAAGAGTTTGGGATTTCATATGAATTTTCTCTCTCTCTCTCTCTCTCTCTCTCTCTCTCTCTCTCTCTCTCTGTTATAGTAGATTGAACTCAGTGCGTGTTGTGTTAGTTAAACCTTTCATTACAGAAGTATATCCCTGCACTCTTTGAGAAGCTTATTTTGAGTAAAGACCCAGGCTGAGGTCTAACTAGCAATGTTATTGCTCCTTCTCGATAGGTGCCAGGATGTCAGGTGTAGACCACAATACTTAGATTAATGTTAGTGTTCTCATAGTGGACAGGAGATACACTGTTTTCAAAGAGTGCTGTTGGTGGTCTTGATTTAATTTCCAAGTGAACATTTATAAACTACTATGGCTTCTTACAAGAATTTCTACAATAAAAAGTATGGTCTCTCACTATTTTTATGGAAATGATGCTGAAATCATTTCATTGTTTCCTCAGTCTTTTTTACTTTCTCCTCCCTTTCTGTTTGTCTGTGTCTCTGTTTTTGTCTCTTTGTCTCTGTCTGTCCCTGTCTCTGTCTCTTTCTCTCTCTCTCTCTTTGTCTCTCTCTCTCTCTCTCACCCTTTTTGTGTCTCTGTCTGTCTGCCTCTTTCTCTCTGGTTGATAGTCTTGCTAAGTTGCTCAGCCTGTGTTCTGACCTGGAATCCTCCTGCCTCAGCCTTTGAAAGTATTTGATCTTATGTTTTTAAAAATGAAAATTGTTTTTTTAAGTTTCTCAAGGACCTGTAAAATTATACATCTGTGCAATAATGCATTTGTCTTAAGAATTAGTGTTAAAATGGGAAAAGGTCAGCTGGTTTGCCATATGCATGGGCTTATGGCAGTAGTAACATGACATTTTAGTGTGTGTAGCCATGAAAATCTATTAATTTTTTATTCTTGTGCTGTAGAACTGAGGTGTTTTGTAAGAAGTGACTTACAATGAAATATATGTAATCATGTCTTTTATCTAATACTATTTTTACTTTGTCCATTTTTATTACAAAGGTGAGAATATTGAAGAGTTTTCCTTCAAAGAGGAGTCAGTCACAGAAAAGCTAGCTAAATTCTATGTTAACTCATCCTTATACAGAGATACAAAATCTGAACTAGATCAACTCTCACATAATCAGCAGAGGAGTTCAGCCTTCAAAGAGTTCACATATGCCACCTCCTTTTGGCATCAACTCAGGTGGATTAGCTGGCGCTCATGTAAAAACTTCGTGAGTGATCGCCGAACCTCTATACTTGAGGTAACCTGGAGAATGTATTTTATTGTATTGAAAAATAGTTTTGTGAGGAAAATCTGTTCTCCTCTAGGGTTGTTTAAATGCTACCCACCCTTCCATGTATTTGTCATGCCCACTTCATCTAGGATATAGAAACAATCAGTGGAACTAGAAAGCACATTTAAAATTTTAATTCATGAAAACTTTTGTTAGAATGCCACAGAATATTTCATGCAAACTGTGTTAAGTAATCTAAGTAGAAGTTTGACTTTGCTTCAAAATGTGTAAACTAAAGGGAATACTGCTTAATTTGTTTTTCTAATAGGTGTCCACTTTCTTTCAGTGATTCATGGCAGAAAATCACTACCAGATCATGTGTTTCACTTTGGGAACTCTTATATAATAGAGAACACAATGAATAGAATAAAAAACTCTGCTTTCATGAAACTATTTTCTTATGAGGACAAACAAATAAAAGTGAATAAAAATAAAAAGAACATGTCTAGTGATAGAATGAACTGTGCTGTAAATTTGAGCAGACAACTGCAGAAGGGGATGGAGAGGGACAGAGACTGGGAGAAGAGTTTGGTTTGCAGCTGAAATGGTGCAGTGAGGGAACCCAGTGTCCCTGAGTTGAGCTGAGGTTGGTGAGGGCTGTGCACCGCCTGAGGAAGGAGCCTGCACACCCCATGCTGCTCCCTGTACAGTAATCGTTTTTCTGTGCTTGGAGATATGAGTATTTGGAAATCAATAGTTAAAGAATATGTTGTTTATAAACAAATGGGAAACTAAATAAACTCTTCATCAAAAGTTTGCTTTTCTTTTTCTTGGTTGATGAAGATTGGTTACTATCATATTTTTTTTTGTCTTTTTCTGTTATCCTTAATCATGATAGCACATGAACTCTAGTTTTCTTAGTTAACTTTTCAGTAATTTACAAGGAATCAATTCAGTTGGTTGTTCTTGAGTGGTTGTGTTTGTTATCACTCAGTAAGTTTCTATTGATTATTAAATGATCGCATGTTTTGGCACTAATGACTTACTGAAGAGCACTTGACATGTACACTATAGTTTTCATATTTGAATATTGTTTTTATCCATCCAAGCTGACATTCTTATTATAGGCTTTCTCTCATTTGCACAAAAAGTTTCTTGTCCTTGCAATCTGGCATTCCTCTAAGAGCACAGGCACTTTTATGTTCTGTCAATCAAAAATAATTATTTTCTTTTAGCATGGATTTGATATCATTTGGAAACAGTTTTGATGAGATATATTTGTATCAATGTAGTTACTGGCTGTTAAGTACTGAGATGATGTACCGCTTTCTTTTATTTTCTTAGCTTTTTTTTTAATCACACCATGCGTGGAGTACATAATGGTCACATTCCTTGTTAGGAGTTGTTACATGCATGCAACACAACCTAATTCCTTTTCAATCCCTTTCTTTCCCCTTCTTGCCTTGTTCTTTCTCCTGATCACTTTCTCATTTTAAAAGACCTTTCTCCCTACTTCCTTTAGCTGTCTTCTGTTTTTGTCTTGATTCATATTTTGTGATTCTCATGTAAGACAAGCCATGTAGTTTTCTAGTTTCCCATCTTATTATTTCACTCAGCACTGTGGTCTCAAGTTGTATCCATTGTCTGACAAATGACCAAGTTTATCCTTTATTATGGTTCAGCAGTACTCAATTGTATATAAATACCACATTATCTTTATTCATCTTTCGATGGACATATAGGACATTTTTTCAAATTGCTGCTATGAATTGTGCTGCTATAAATGTGAATATGCATGTATCACTGCAATGTGATGTTTTCTCTAATTTTGCGATCTTTCAGGGCTTTTTTTCTCCTAGGAATAAATCTCAAAATTTCTATGTTTTTTAAAATGTTATTTAATGCTAGAAAAGCGAATGAAAATAAAAATGTTACAGAGTTTCAAAACAAAATATTAAAGTTCATGGGTTTTTGTATAAGGTTTTTACTTGTTTGCTCAAAAAGAAATTTCTGTGTGTCTGATCCAAAACAAATATATGATAGATATGGACAGTATGATTAGAACATACTTAGTCATACATATCAGGCCGTGTGTTGTGTAGTTCTAGGCTTCTTTATGCTTCAAATATTAGGTGAGTGTTCAGCTTCCAAGTTTCACCAGTGAACTCACTTCCATGAAAGGAATCCTAGCAAGGAACAGAGAAGTGTCAGTCTCTAGAGTAAGTACAGAACCTTGTATCTCCCTGAACTTAGCCTGGAAGCTACTTTTAGGTTAGAAAATGCTGGCATAGTAGTAGTGCAGTAAGAAATCTTTTGGGAAGAGGGCCAGATACTAAGTGTGTTAAGCTTTGCATGTCTTATTTTGTCTTTTTTTTAATTTTTTATTTTGAATGTATTAAAAAAAAAAAACCAGAACAAGACAGAACAAAGCCAACTGAGACAGTGTAGTGAAATTGGTACAGAACTTCACAGCAAGTTACTGGGATAACAGTAATAGGTATCACAGTATATCTCATTATCTTTACAACAGTTCTTCTTTCAATCACGTATAGCAAAATGAAATGAAATACAGAACATTATAGAACTTATCAAAACAGAATATTGAATAGAGCAGTACCATTAATCAGAATAAAGCAAAAACAGTGGTAAAAATATTTGCCTTCAAAGAGATGGTAGAAATACATCCCCCTTATTTGCTGTAGTGCACATATTCAACCTCCCAAGAGATGCTCAGATCTCTAGTTTCCATTTGCTAGTGGTGAGGAGGGGAAGTGGGATGTTTGACTCTTAGCCCGTTGGCCGGTAGGCTCACTATTGCTTGGCAGGGAGGTGAGTTGGTTGCTTGGTTTCCCAGCACCCTAAGTTCCAACATGTTGTGGATCTCAGGAGACACTGGTGGTTCTCCCCCTGGAAGGGCCACAGCCTGTCACACCACAGCCACTTACCAGGGAGGCTAGCTGGTTGCTTGGTTTCCCAGTACCCTAAGTTCCAACAGTTGCAAATCTCAGGAGACACTGGTGGTCCTCCCACTGGAGGGCTGCTTAACAGGGAGACGAGCTGGTTTTTTTGGTTTCCCAGCACCTTATTTTCCAACCTGGCACAGATCTCAGGAGATGCTGGTGGTTCTCACCCTGGAAGGCCTGCAGCCTGCCACACCACAGCCGCTGACCAGGGAGACGAGCTGGTTGGTTTCCCAGCACCCTAAGTTCCCTTGTCTTTTTATCAGGTTGTGAATTCTGATATTTTATTGTGAACACAGTTATAACTAATATATAAGGGAATAAACAATACTATGTGCTGAAAAATTTTAGTTGTGGATACTGAATTTTCAATTTCATTTACATTTGATATTGTAAAAAGTATTATTCTTGGTCTCCTCAGCCTATTATTAAAATTCATAAAATCTGTTATTATCTCACAACTTAACACAAATAGATATCTGGCTTTCTGATTATTTAGCCCTTGGTTACTGATGCTTGGGATAGGTCCTTTATCTTGTATGTTTATTATTTTTCTATTTTTTTAATTGGTAATGGGGATTGAACTCACCACCTTGCACTTACAAGGCTGGTGCACTTACAAGGCCGCTGAGCTAATTCCCCAGCCCCTATTTCTCTATTTTTGTATATGGAATTGTTACTCTATTTATGAGTTCCTGTGGATAAATCTTACAATGTGTTTTGTGATAGCTTTGTTTACATGTGATTTCGTTACTTATTTGAAGGTTTTAGCAGTAGCCATTTACTAACAGTTGTATTTGGAAAATTTTGCCTTTGGTGGGTTATTTGTTGAAGGACAGTGTTGTTCATTTAATGTGCCAAGGATTTTTCTAGTCAAATCAACTTCAGAGACATAATGATGACACGGGGTGTCCTTTCTATTAGTATCCAAAGCATTAGACTCTGAATTTATTCTATCAGGGACACAAACATCACTCAGAACTCACCATCTAAAACGTTGACTAAACATCTTTGAACAGTTACATATTGAGAGAGTTAGTGTTTTATCATGTTTCTCCTGCTCTTTTATGAAAAGAGGACTGAGACTAGATGCCCAGTGCTCACAGTGGTGTCATTTCTTCTGTTGTGAAATGTTGAGTTTTCCTGTAGGTTTCTTTCAACTACAACAACAAAATAAATAACACATTTGCATCTTATAAAACAGGGCTTGCTAATAAAATTAATGCTTTTGCCAATATATCTCAAAACTGACTAAAATAGTTTAAGAACTTTCAAATATGATGAACTATCCTGTTGATAATAGTGATATCGTTTGTATATCATAGTTTAGATCTCATGTCATCCCAGAGTAACATGCATTCAGAAGTGGGATTTCAAAAGAGGTTGGAGGATTGATTTGGGATGAAATTGCATGACATAGCTCACTTGGGGCTAGGAGATCTGGTTAGCAGTGCCCACTGAGCTCATGACTTGGAAGAATATATCTCTCTCCTTGCTGATTTTGTTCTTTCTCTGCTTCCCATACAACATACTGAGCATCTATCTTCTACCCTGGTTCTTCTCCCACATAGGTTCTTTCTTGGAACCAGCTAATTGTGGACTGAAACCTCTAAAATCTATGAGTGAAAATTAATCTGTTCTCCTTTAAGTTGTAGGTGTTAGATATTATATTACAGTAATGAGAAATTAACTAGGACATGGGATAAGGTATCATGCTTGAATGAAAGAAAAAAGAATGGAAAGTGACTAGTTCGATGAATATTATAAAATATTCGTAAATTTCACAAATGTGCACACTGCATGTTGATGAAGCCATCAATATTTATGTTTAAATAGTGCTCTGCTGAAATGAAAACTAGTGTATTCAGTATATAATTAAAATATGCCAGGTTAATAGACACAGTCTCATAGTAGTATTTGATTAGCAATGCAAGTTTTTAAGTTTTTTTAAAAATGAGTATAACATTTAAATCATGTCCTTCCTATGAACTCCACAGTATGATTTTTGTGTGTGTGTGTGTGCTGAGAATCAAACTCAACCTAGCACTTGCCAGGCAGGCTTTTATGCTGCTAAGCTAACTCCTCAGCCCCAAAGCCTATGATTTTTTAAAGGTAGTCTTACAATTCAATTATTCTGTCATACTACTTAGCCTTACTTCACATTTTATATTCTCTGTAAATTATTTCATGTTTTGATACTGCCATGGTATTTGGATTTCTTACAATTAGGATATTTCCAAGATAGATGGGGGGACATTTTCATTTTTAGATGATCATTTGTCATATTTTTTAACATAATCAATGAATAAACATTAATTAGATTTCCTCCATTATATTATATCATAAAGTAGTGCTGAAGCCTTTGCTAATTGCTGAGCCTGTGGGGACCTTTTCTCCTGAAAACAAAGGAGATGCTTGTACAGTCCCCCTGGGAGCCATCCACATGGACTGAGTAGGTGAAGGACTCAAGAACTGATAATTTCTAGGGCCATGGGGACTGCAGGGTCTCACTAGTCCAGGTCGACGGAGAAGAAGTAACAGAGCAGGGTAAAGGCATCTCTTCAATGTTCTAAGGACAGTTGACTGAAAGATTTGGTTAAAATGATAGTTACCTTTTTTATGTAATGATCAACTTCCTAGAGATGGGATAAGTGGGGTACAATTCACTCCCTAACTGCTTATTATCTAAAATGCCATTATGTGCTTTAAAAAATGTATTATTCATTTGGTTTTTGATACCTAGGATCAATGCCAGATTTCTGTATATGTTAAGCAAGCACTCTCATCTGAGCTACTTCATAGCCCTAAAATTCTGTTTAAATTCATCTCATTTTGATTTGCCCTCTTGAAACATAAAACTATTCAGGTCCACTGGCAAAGAGAACAAGATACCAGTTAAGCACACAGCTTGTTTTCATTTAGACTTTATTTTCTTCCTAGGAGGACCCTTCTAGGTGCCTGCATTCCTCTTTTATATTTCATGGCATTCATGAGTGCAGCTCTTGACCTGTGCCCTGATCTGGCAATGCATGGATGGACACTGGGAGGAGCTTCAGCTTTTGCAGTCATCGTTCTGTTGTCCTACAGCTCCTCGCACAACTGATAAATTTTCAATTTAATTTATGGAACAGTTCATAAAGTATACTTTGGTCATTTAATATCTTTAGTTCAGTGGTGATATGTATATCCATATAAATCTATGTAAATCTTAATAGTAAGTAATATTTAAAGTCTTACTTCTAACGGAATATCATTTGTTTTATATTTCTTTTTGGAAAGATCATTACAATTATTATGGAAGGACTTCTTATAGCTGGCTTTTTCTTTGGGATAAAAAATGATTGTTCTACAATCCAGACTAGGTAAGTCATTTTATCTCTTCATTCCGAGAAATGCTGAACTTTGTTTAAGCTTATGGATACCCATTGAGAATTTTAATGTATGACAAATACAATATATTATTATTATATTGTAGTGAGATGAGTTGATATGCATATACTGAATAAAATGGTTTATTTTCTTTGTTGTACCTATACCTATGTATGTGGTTTAAATGTATTCACAATACCTATTTTCACTTTTAACTATTTTAAATGCATAGTTCAGTAGAATCAAGTACATCCACCTTGTACAGCTATCATGACCATCCAATTCTGCTTTTTATCTTAGCATAAAGAATCTCCATGTCCAGTGAAACAGTAATTTCTCATGCAAACCTATCCAAACTGCTGATGAATACAATCCTCCATTCTGTCTCTGAATTTGACTACCCTGGGAACCTTATATGTATGAACCTACATAGTACATGGTGTGTGTGTGTGTGTGTGTTTCCCACCCATGTGTCCTCAATCTTCACCAAAGTTTTAACTTGTCTTTGAATTTTATTCTTTCCTAGAATAAGGAATAGTCCATTGTGTGAGGCAGAAATTTAGCCATTAGCAGGCCAAGAGACAGGTAGCTTGGGTTTATATGAAAATCAAAGAAGACATGATGCTGCTTCTCCTTTGCTCTTTCAATCATTAGCTAGAGGTAAAATCCATAAAAGCCCATATTTCAGACTCTAGCGCATGTGAATATAATACCTGGTGAACGTGCTGAAAAGTTTCAGGACTTGTACAAAGTCCAGAACACGTGTGAAATTTTAGAAAACCTTGGGGCCTCAAAGCATACAGCAAAAATCCATGTAGAAAGTATATTAATGTCTACAAATTGAACACTTAACTTGTAAAAAAATGTGACAAATTTAGATAAAAGGAAAGATATTTCTTGCCAGTCTCAGTTCCAGGTCATGGGAAGGATTTGAGCTAGTGTCTGCTTCTACTTTTCTTTTTGATCTCTCTCCATTTCATTTTTCTTGTAGTAGTTCTTCATTCTTTGTTTCTCTTTGCTCAGTTAAGCATTACACCATTTCTGACAAGTCCTGTGATTAGAAAACTAACCTAAGTATGCTTAAATAACTGATGTGTTTTCATTTCTGCTCTATCCTGACAGAGTCTGGATGTTCTATGTGTTGACAGCCTGCCATTGTTTTGCCTACGTGTCTGCAGTACAGATCTTTCTGGGGGAGAAGCAGCTCTTTGAGTGAGTAGGGCTCTACACTTGGAAGGGCCTCTGGAGGATGTTGGGAAATTTTTACATCCATACTATGGCTAAGCATGACTGGGCATAAGTGGTGTTTTGTAACATTATCCTTATTTACTTGTTTAGTTCTCAATTATAAATTATAAATGTTTATCATTAATAAAATGAAATTTCAAATTTGATGGAAATTACAAATATTTATTGAGATAAATCAACCTAGGACTAGGGAGATTGGAGTTTTTGTGGAGCCTGATACCAAGTTATAAGGGTTGGAAGTTCAGATTTTATTCAGAAAAGGTCAAAGGTGAAGAAGAAGCAGTGACAAATGTCTAAAGAGCCTTTGGTTAATTTGATGGGCTTGGACAAGACTAAACAGTGGAACTGTCACCAAGTTGCAGTTGGAGGGTCAAGATGACAAAGAATGTGAGCAAGTTAAATCACAATGTGCAGAGGTATGGGAAGAGCCAACAGCTGCTTTACAGAAAAGAGAAGACTGATTTTGTTTCTTGTGTTTTTAAAGATGGGAGAGATTTACCCTTTTTTACATAGCAAGCACAGGAATCATCAGAAAGTGAGGGAGTGAACAGGGTAGTGGAGGAGTTTAGAATTATGAGAGAAAGATGTCAGACAGAAGAAAGATTAGGACAAGGCAGGCAACAGGACTCGGTGGGTTAGAAGTATAATTGCTAAATGAAAAAGTCTTTTATTTCTTTTACACATGAGAATGGTAGAAGTAAAAATAGGCTAGGGATCTGAAGCTGCACTTGAGGTCTTGTAGAATAATAATCTTATCTTCTTCCTAATCAGAAGTGAGGCCAGGAGACACCTCAAGTCCACTGAGACTAGCGCTTAAAGAGCTGCTCTTCACAGAGATCGAGTATCAGAGGAGATGCACAGTTTCTTAGGAGAGTGTGGTGACAGACTCTGTGCACATCACAGGGATGGGGTTCTAAAGACAGTGTACAGGACCACAGGAGGGATCTGTAATGAGAGAGGACCTCAGTGAGTTTCTCCTGTGGCTGTGATCCAGAAGCGTTCCCATTGAGAGCTTAGAGTTATGGGTAGCATGAATGATGTGGCCGCAGAAATCTGTAGAGAAACACTCTCACTTATTAGTTTATGCCTCATTAAATTATCAAGGATGTATAATCTGTCTTTGTCTTCTATAGGCATGAGCATATGAGTGGATACTACAGACAGTCTTCATATTTCCTTGAAAAAGTGTTATGTAATTTGCTACCCAGGAGGTTGTTGCAAAGTTTTATCATTACTATCGTAGTATACCTTATAGTAGGTAAGTATCAAGACAAAGAGCTTGTGTCTTTAATTTTGGAGGTAAAGATTTTCAGTACAGTTATGTTTCTCAAGAATGGAGACAAAGTCACAAGCTGGGAAGCCTCTAACCACCAATCATGCATGCTACTAAATACCTACCCAATCTACCTGCTGTTCCGCAGACTTTTCTAACTGAAAATTTAAAACTATCTGTAGAATTATATCTTCTTAAGACCCACATTTATTGTGACTCATACTCAAATATAGAAAACATTTGTAAGGTTTTTTTGATTCTGTGTTGCAAATATTTTGTTGCATAATTATTTGTATTTTTTCATGTGTCTCAAAATATGTATATATCTACATAAAAATAAAGTTTTATAGGTAATTAATAATGATAATGTTTATTTATATAAATCTGTATGTATATATCTAATGCATATAAATTATTTATATACATATACAGTGAGAGAGATATCAAAATTTCAATATATGCATGTATTCTCTGTCTTTCTCACTGTCCATTGAAAGAAAGAATATGATTTTGGGATTTATTGAGTTAATGGAAATATTTCATGAATATATGAAAATTCACTTGCACAGTATATTCATTGTTTGCTACTCGTTGCACAAACACACACACAATAGAAGTATATATTTTTTAAGACAAAAAGGATATAACAGTTAAGAAAGTTTGTCTTTTATTATATTAATAAGAGATGTGTCATAAAACATTAGGAATATCATACAGACTCCTAGACTACTGGCTCTTATTATTGCACCTATTTCTTAATCTTTAGACTACTTGAAAAGATCATGGTTATTTACAAAGTAGTTTGTGGTCTTTGTCTTCTTGCTTTGGAGATACTAAAACTACAGTGAGACCATGTAATTCTGTTCCTGGATTCTACACTCATGCAGTTATAGCAAACAATGTCTGTGGAAATGTCTGTTTAAGTGAATGTGCTACTGAGGAGTTATTGTCCCTACCACTCCATTTTAGAAGTCAGAGATTGTCAGTTACTGCCTGTACTCAAATACAGGTGCTATATGGAAAAGTGCCTTTGGAGTAAGTGTGAAATAAAAGTCTATGCTAAGTTTCTACATTTACTTGCAGGAGACAGCAAAGTTGGCAAGCTAGGATACCTGGTTTAATGGCTACTTTTCTCATCCTTTTATTAGTTTATGAGAAATCTGTAATGCTATTTACACAATAAAGAGATACAAATATGTAACAATGTAGGCAGCAAGACTAATACCTTCTTTTCTTTCCAAGAATTGAATCCAGCAGTTAAGGCTTTCTTCATTATGTTGCTTACCCTTTGGATGGTGGCTTGTTCAGCTGATTTTATGACACTGGCCTTAACAATAGATCAGAATTTGCTGAATCCCATGACAACATTTCTCACGGTCAGATATTTTCACTATATGCTGGTAAGTAGGAGCTGTGCATCCTTGAGAGAGAAATTTTTTCATTCTTTTTTCCTGCACAGTAATCATCACATAAATCTTGCTTTGAAGATTCTGTACATGGAATTTAGATACTTTAAGGAAACTGTTAAGTTGAATTAAAATTTATAAGGGAATTTAACAGCTTTCTTCAGTACTCATATTCAACATATTTTTGGCCTCTGTTCTCAGATAGTTATTATAACTTGGGTAACGTGTCTTTACTCATTAACTTTTGTTGTTGTAGGTTTTGTGACAAGGTCATTCTATCTAGTTTAGGCTAAGTTGGACCCACTATGCAGCCCACTATGTCCTTAAACTTGCAGATATCCTTGGGCCTCAGCCTCCATAGTACAGAGATCACAATATGTACCATTATGCCCAGCTTGTTGACTAGCTTTTGTAATTATTGTTTTTGATTTTTCTTTTGTCTTTTATTTTAAAAAGCAAAACAGAAGAAAAGGATAGAAATGAAACAAAATTCAAAAAAGAAAAAAAAAAACTAGGGAATTAACACTAGTAAATATATTGCATATTGTTATCTCAGAACTATCTGTTCAGGCTACAAAACTGTTGAATCAAACAATGACAACACAAATATTCATTTTTATGAACTAAGAAAGATTAGTAGTATAGCTATCTATCTAGCATATATATAGATACATATACTTACATGTTTACCAACACACATATAATCCTTTCCTTCATTGTTTTCTTTCTCCTATCCCAGTAATTCCGTCCTTTTGAGCACCTACTTTTCCCTCTCATTATTACGATATCTATTCTATATTTTGGATCTTATTACTCTTTCACATTTTTGTTTTTTATTTTTTTATATGAGGGAGACAATATGATATTTATAAATGTGAGTTTGATTTATTTCACTTTTGATTATGGTATCAAGTTGCCTCCATTTACCTATAAACTCCTCAAGATTATCCTTTTTATAGCTGAATAATATTCTATTGTATCAAAATACCACATCTTTTCTATCCATTCTGCAGTTGATGGGCATTTAGATTGTTTCCAAGACTTAGCTATTACAAATTGTGCTGCTATAAACATAGGTGCACATGTATCATAATGACATGACCTTTTCAATTTTTCTGGGAAAATACTCAAAAGAGGAATAGCTGGATTAAATGAGAACTCTTTATAATCTTAATTTTTTGAGGAATCCCCACACTGATTCCCACAATGGCTACAGTAGTCTATACTCCCACCAGCCATGCAAAAGTGCTCCTTTCTCCTTACAGCTCTGCCATCACTTGATATTGGTTGATTTATTTTTTTAAAAATTTTATTAAGGAGAAAAAGAAAAAAAAACAGAAAAAGGGTACAAGTTATACAGAATTTCAGAATGATTCTTGATATCAGCCATTATTTCTGGAGTGAGATGGAATCTCAACATTGTTTTAGTTTGCATTTCTCAAATGACCAGTGATGTTGAGCATGTCTTTATATATTTATTTGCCATTTGTATTTCTTCATCTGAGAAATACCCTGTTCATTTCAGATGCCCATTTTTGGACTGGGTGTTTGAATTTGGGAGGGTTGATATTTTTCAATTCTTTGTGTGTTCTGGAGATAAGTCCTTTTGTCTGAGGGATAGCTGGCTAAAATTCTTTCCCATTCTGTGATTTTTGTCTTCACTTTGTCGGTGATTTCTTTTGAAGTACAAAAAATTTTTAATAAGATGAGACCCCATTTGTTTATTCTTTGAAGTACTTCTCATGCAGTTTACGTTTTGCTTATGAATTCTCTGCCTAGCCCTATATCTTCAAGATTTCTACCTACCTTTTCTATTTTAATATTGAGGTCTTTGACTCACTTTGACTTTGGTTTAGTGCATGGTAGATATGCACTAAACATGGATCTAGTTTCAGTCTTTAGCATGTGGAAGCCAATTTTTCCAGCACCATTTATTAAAGAGGAATTTTTCTTCCTGTGAGCATGTTTAGTCCCTTTGTCAAAGATAAGGTGGCTGAGTGTGCTTGTAGTTGTGTTTGCATCTGCTAATCTACTCCATTGGTCCTCAGGGCTGGTTTTTCTTTTTTGTCAGTACTATGCTGATTTTATCACTGTAGCTTTGTAGTATATTTACAAGTCAGGGAATGTGATGCCTCCTGCCTGGCCTTTGTTTCCAGGATTGCCATGCTATTATAAGTCTCTTCTGCTTCCAAATGAATTTTAGGAATGTTTTTCCTAGATCTGTAATGTATGTCAATGATATTTTGATTGAGATTTCATTAAATCTTTATAACAGTTTTGGGAAAATGGCCATTTCCACAATTGGGGTTCTTCCTAATGAAGAGCAAGGGATATCTTTGCATTGTCTGACATCCTCTTCAATCTCATTTTAAGAGTACTGTGGTTTTTAGCATATAGGTGTTTTATATTCTTTATTAGGTTGGTTCCTAAATATTTCATTGTTTTTCATGCTATTGTGAAAGGTGTTATTTCCATAATTTCTCTCTCAGTGAGTTCGTTGTCTGTGTACAGGAATACTATTGATTTTTGAGTGTTGATTTGGTATCTAGCTACACTGCTGAATTTGTTTATTAACTCTAGTATTGTTTAGTAGAATTTTTAGTATCTTCTATATAGAGTTTTGTGTTGCCTGCAAATTGTGATAATATAACTTCTTTTCTTATCCTTATTCCTTTTATTTCTCTCTCTTGTCTGATTGCTCTGGCTAATGTTTCCAGAACTATATTGATTAGGAGTGGTGGTAGTGGGTATCCTTGTCTTGTTCTTGATATTAGAGTGAAAGTTTTCCATTTTTTTCATTTAGTATAATGTTGGCTGTTGGTTTGTCATAGATGGTTTCTATCAGATTGAGATAGATGCCATCTATTTTGAGTTTCTGTAAGGTTTTTATTATGAACAACTGTTGCACTTTATTAAAAGCTTTTCTGCATTTATTGAGACAATCATGAGATTTTTGTCTTTGACACTTTTGATGTGCTGAATTACATTTATTGATTTGTGTTAAACCATGCATGGATGTTAAACCACCCATGCATTCCTGGTTTTTATCCCACTTGCTTTCATTGAATCCTTGTGGATAGAACTTGTGTGTTGTATCCACATTTTCATTTAATGTGGATATTGTTTAATTTCTTCTTTATTTTCACTTGTGACCCCTTGTTCAGGAGGGTGTTGTTTAACTTTTGTATGTTTATGTAGTTTTCATATTCTCTTTTGCCATTTACTTCTAGTTTCTTTGCACTATGGTCAGTGTACTACGGTCAGTACTATGCATCGGATAATTTCAATTCCTTTGCATTTATTTAAGCATGTACTATGGGCCAGTTTGTAGTCTGTTTTAGAGACCATTCCATATGCAGCTAAGAAGAATGTGTATTTTGATGTTTTGTGTAGAATACTCAATAAATGTCAACTAAGTACATTTGCTCTCATGTTTGATTTAGTTCTGTTATTTCTCTGCTGACTTTTTGTCCAATTAGTCTGTCTCTTTGTGCTAATGGGATATTAATATTTGTCATATATCATTGGTTGCTCCTATATTTGGTGCATATAGAGTTATGATTGTTATTTCTTCCTCTTGAACTTTTCCTCTAAGAAGTATGTAGTGATCTTCTTTATCTCTTTTGATCAGTTTTGGTTTGAAACTCATGGTGTATGCAAACAGAATATGTCCCCGTGCTTTTTTCCAGGTTCCTATGGCATGGAATATTGTTTCCCATCTTTTGACTTTCAGTAGACTTTTTCCAAGTAAAAGTGTTTCTTGTCTACAGCATATTGTTAAATCCTGTTTCTTGATTCATTTTGCCAATCTGTTTCCTTTCTCAGATGAATTGCAGCCATTGGCATTGATGATTGTAACTGATAGCTATTGATTTATCTTTGTCATGTTATTTTTCTGTTGTTCATTCCCTGCTTTGCCCCTCTGTTTAACTGCTTGCTCTACGTGGTGATTTCTTTACATTGTTGTGCTGGAAATTGTGGTCATTTTTGTCTCTATCTAGAATATCTTTTAGTACTCTTTCAGAGGTTAATTTGGCAGATGTGAATTTCTTCAGTTTTTTTTTTTGTCATAGAAGTATCTTATTTTTCTTTTTATTTTGAAAGACATTTTTGCAGAAAATGTCATTCTGGGTTGGAAGTTGTTCTTTTTCAGTGTTTGAATTACTTTATTCCATACTCTATTGACATCAGGGTTTGCACTGACAAGTCAGCCATGAGTCTAATTGACTTTCCTTGATAGGCCATCTGTTTCTTTTTCTCTAGTAGTTTTCAATGTTCTTTTTTATGTTGACTGCCTGGGATTTTGATTGTGATATGACTGGGTGTAGATTTATTTTGATTATGTTTGTTTGGAGTTGTATATGCCTCACTTATCTGAACATCAGATTTTGTTCCCACACTAGAGAAGTTCTCTAGTATTGTTCTCTGAAATATGATTTTTAATGTCATTTGTGTTGACTGTTGTGTGCTCATGACACTTGTCATTCTTATATTGCTTCCTTTGCATCATCTTGGAGATCTTGAATTGTTATTTCATAGTCCATTGTTATTTTTAAGAGATCTTTCTTTTTGTGATCTCTAACCACAATCCTGTCTTTAAAGACTGAAAGTTTATCTTTAGTTTCATTCAAGTGGTTTTGCCTTCTTTCAGTGGAATTTTTAATTTCCTGGATATCTCTTTGAATATGTTTCATGCATTCTATTTTTCCTATATTGTTCATTCAAGGTTTCCATAATGTTCCTATGCTGCTGTATATTTTTTTTAAATCTGTGTCTTATCTAGATGTACTGAGAGATTCCTTCATTAAGGTTGTCATTTCTTTTTGCTACCTGACAGATTATTTCTGATCTGATTTTCTCTATAGCCTTGTAAATTTGTTTCTTTACTGCACCTGGTATCTTTTCAGAAATTCAGGTGTGAGTCTTTCAGTGTCTTCCATGTTTATGCCACCTATACTTGTTCCAGATGGGCTGGGGGTTTAAGATTGCATTTT